GTTCCCCTGTGTTGCCCTATGTTACCCTGAGGTACTCTGAGTTACCTTGTGTTACCCTGTGTTCCCCCAGCTGTATTACCCTGTTACTCTGTGTTACCCTGTGTTACCCTCTGTTACTCTGTGTTAACCTCACTGTAACCTGAGTTACCTTGTCTTACCCTGTGATACTCTGTGTTACCCCGTGTTACTCTGTCTTACCATGTGTTACCCTGTGTTATCTGTCTTACACTTTGTTACCCTGTGTTACCCCGTATAACCCTGTGTCACAGTGTGTTACCCAATGTTACCTTGGCATACCCTGTGTTAGTTAACCTGTGTTACCCTGTGTTGCTCTGTGTTACCCTGTGTTACACTCTGTTACCCTGTCTTCCTCTGTGTTACACTGTTCCCTTGTGTTACCCTCACTGTGTTACATTGTGTTACCCTGTGATGCTCTGTGTTACGTTGTGTTACTCTGTGTTACCCTGTGTTACCCCGTGTTACCTTATGTTACCCTGTGTTACAATGTCTTACTCTGTGTTACCCTGTGTTACTCTGTGTTACTCTGTGTAATCCTGTGTTACCCTGTCTTATCCCGTGTTACCCTGTCTTATCCCGTGTTAACCTGTGTTACCCCCTGTTACCTTATGTTACCCCGTATTACCCTGTGTTACAGCGTGTTACCCGGTTTTACCATGTGTTACCCTGTGTTAACCTGTGTTACCCTGTGTTAGCCCGTGTTAACCTGTGTTACTCCGAAGGGCAGTGAGTCCTCGAAACGTTTATGTGGGCGACCATCTTTTAGGCCTGGGCACCCCATCTGAAATGCTTGGGAGCAAAAAAGGGCTCCCTGGAAATTTCCTTTAGAGCACAGCCTTGCGCCCTGTAGTTATTAGAAGTCTGATACATTACATGCTATTGTTGAAAGTGGAAGTGCATTTATTGAGGATATTAGTAAAGCCGGAATGTAATTGTTAGTGAACTACCCCATACTCTTAACATATATGGTAGTAATATTGATGTAAGTTTTTCTTTGCGGAGCAAAGGAACCCTTGTGTGTAACTCATCTTCTAGTGTATTTAACAGAACATCTCCGTCTCTACTGCACATATTTGTTGTTGATACACTGCTCAAATTTCCAAAGCCATTCACAACATAGGCACGTTTTACATGCATGAGCTATTTGGAATGCTTCAGTGTAACGGTATCGGCTATCTACTGTCTTAATGCTAAATTAAGGCTATGTTTTGTGCAAAATTGGGTATTGCTGTACATTAATAAAAACGAGAACCGCAGCGCATAGCTGATTCGATCTAATAAATTCACTTTTCTTTGTCTTTCCTTCAGAAGTCTGGTGCAAAATAAACAAATTGTTAAAGTACTATGAATATCAACTCACCAAAAGTTGCTTAAACGGAAGACTCGAAGGCTTCAAGGTTTCTTCATGGTTTCTTAAAGTAATGAAGGTCGTCGAATACCGAATAGCGAAGACTGATACCTTAACATCATACTTTACTTCTATCGGAACAGTCATATTGCCGAAATACTGATTTCTACTCATTCCATGTTATTCCACTCAATCAAACAATCTCTAATTATTTCGCCAACTGGCTACTTAGAAGTTTATTCGATAACGCAAAACTTAGTCACTGGGTAAATTAAATACGTTTTAATTACTTTTATGACAGCAAACATGTATCAGATACGGTTGCACTTAGGTTGCCGCAACGTGAATTTAAAGGTCTGTTGAACTTTGTACGAGAGAGAATATTAAGGTATGTTTACGGAATTAATTTACTCTGTACAGCTTTAAAAAAATCAGCTCTTGTTCAATCTTCTAAAAACACAATTACGGCGCATATTTCCAAGTTAAAGTCAATATCTAAATACCAATTTCTAAAATATTACGCTTCACTTTGAAGCAGGTGAAACATAATTCACTATTCACTTTTAGCTGTAATAGAAGACGGCAAATTGTGAAAAACCAAAATGGCGGTCTCAAAGTGCCCTTGTTTGACCTTTATCGCAGCAATGTCATGTTTAGATGCCAGAATCTCATTGGTTCCTGAGCATCAACTCATAGTACCTCTTATTGGCCCCTGCAACACACATCCAAACACACAAGGCCACAAATCCACAAAGCCACAAAGATACATACGCTCACAACAATGACACATGAGCTATTTTTTCAAAATAGCTCAAAAAAATCCGGCTTACTGGCGGTTTCATTTCATTTTGTTACTTTAATGTCTCCGGTGCTATTCTTATATTCAAGTTTAAAATCATTACTAATACTCAACAAATTACAATACAATTCAAGTCAGAAAAGAAATTGATAGTGTGTGATGAAATGAGTACCATAAATTCTCTATTAAGCCCCCCACTGGGTTCTTTATTTCAAGCCCATTTGAGGGGGGGGGGCTTATTTGAGAAAGGGGGGCTCCTTAAATTTAGAAACGACGATGGTATCAGTTCTCCATAAAGAATACAAAGTGGAAAAGCTCAAGTCAAGAAGTTTTAGGTCACGCAGCCGAAGATCTGAATCAAATCCGAACTTCAAGTTGGTAAATAAACCATCCTGGATCAGTCCACACGAAGTTTTAGAGTCGTGATTGATTAATTCAGTCTCTCATTTATTAGTGAACAATAATTAGGGGAGGGGGGCTTAATAGAGAGGGAGAGCTTATTAACTTTCTTCCCCTGAACAGGGGGGTTTATTGCAGGGAGAAGGTTTATTTCAGAGGGGGGGCTTAATGGAGGATTTAAGGGTAATTGTCTGCTTATTGATAGAATAAGGTAAAAACCGATTAAGTCTTTCAGGTTATCATGTGAATGTATTTTGAAAGATAAATACCTTGAATGGTTAATGCTGAAGACATTTCCGACGTTTCCGTCAGTCAATGTAAAACATATCTTGCTATTTTTTCCAACATCTCTATCAGTAGCCTGGAAAATGAAATTTATTTGTAGAATACATTTTACAAAAAAATAAAAGTAAACTGCACGCAGCCAGGATTCACTAAATCACGGAGTCACATATGTAATTAATTTGGCCGCTAAACTGACGTTTATTACTGTGTGGGGTAGCACGAGAACGTTATCTTGAGTATCAACCTCTGAAGTTCGTATTGTAAGGTAAGATAAGGCCCTGCCTGAGCTAAAAAAAACGCTCATCGTCATAAATAGAGAAATTTAGAGTATACGGCAAACGGCAAACCGCAGATTGAAGTTAATAATTTCCCAATTAAGGGATGAACTGATAAAAACTGTCGAAAATAATTGTTATGGATGTAATTGACTTAAAACTAGTAATTTCTGTGTACATAAAAAAAAGGGGGAACGAAAGTAAAGGGAAAACTGGATTTCGAGGTACAATTTCACGTTTGCAGTAATCTCTCTAAAAATTTCCCACAGACATGCCACAACGCCACTCGAACACATTCGAAAGTCCCCTACTATCCGTAATCATCAAATTGAATTTTTTTTTCTCTTTTGATTATTTCATCAGAGAATTGGCAAAGGCCGCAGCTGTGTAGTCATGGAATTAGAATGATTTTATTTGAAACATGAAATAGGTAGTGGAATACTACGCACTATTATGCACTAATTCTATTGTCTTCTTTTGTTTACCTCTCGCTATTTTGCACTATTTGTAAGTATCTGTTTCACTGTTCAAGTAAAATCAGCCTATGCTCTTAGAAGGTTTGCTACGCATCCAAGAAGCTTACTCTAAAGCCCAACAACTCCCAACATTTCTTTTGTTCCGTGATCGCCGAAGCTTAGCGCAACAATGTTGGATCCGTTTGCAAAGCTCTTTCAACATATTTGGGGCCAAGCACGCTCATTACGCATGGTTTACAAAGACTCATGGGTTGTATCCTTTCCACGATGCACTGCAGGTCCCAACGTTGATGGGAGTTGTTGCATCCGTTTGCACACCACTGCCAACACGTACGCAACAACTCCCAACATTGTTGGCGCAACAATGTTGGGAGTTGTTGCGTCCGTTTGCACGCAGCCTTAGACTTCTTTCGTGCTTAGCATTCTCCCGCAGGCATTCAGAAATGACTGGACTCGCACGCAGTGCGATTCTTACTGCCTAAACCAATGCTTTGTTCTAAGGTCCAAAGATGATTCAGGGGCACCCAACGAGAATATAGTTCAAAACCACTTAAACATAGCATTGTTGAACGTATTTTAGTATTTAAACGGTAGATATAGGCATATTTCTATCCCCTAAAAAATTTTCATCTGTTCGGATTTTCTTGCTGAAAGTCTAGTGATCCGAAAATTATAGGGATCAAACCTTACATTTTCGAAAATTTCAGCCAGAAAAAAGGCTCCCGAAAAGTCTAGGTGAGCTTTTTAGGGTAAAAATCCGTCAAAGCTGGACAATTATACCATTTTTTAGACGTTCGAAAATCCTAGGAGAGGCCGAGGCAAGCAAGGAATTTTACAACAAATGTTTCGAAAATTCTAGATTTCAAATCGTCTTCCGAACAGATATTTTCCCAAAATTGACGTTGGGTGCCCCTAATGATTGATGTTTTGAAACACTGTGTGCGCTTACCTTCACTGTTAAAATTGTTGTATTCATATCAGTAGCTTCTGAAATAGTGACCGTATAAGACGGTCTATCAAATGTCGGATCATTGTCGTTAATGTCTTTTAAGGAAACTTCCACTGAAACGGTACTCGACCTAAGCAACACAAAACAGAATTGTTACCAAACACGTGTTGCTTGTGCTATATTGCACCAAAACGCCTGTAGTATACAAAATAACTCTCTATGTGACTTCAACTTTGAAACAAAATAAGTCCAACAACGAAAATCAAATATTTAATAAAATATATTGATTTGTGGGCACACCGATTTAACTGAATTAACATTCCTATCCATTTCTTTCCTCAAAATGTGCTCAAAGTATTTTGCGCAGTAATGAACGCCATAGAGATCTCCTCGAGTGTGTCTCTTCCTAGATAGTCGGAGATGTTCGTGTTAGCTTCGAAGTTCCTCTTGCCGTTGTTAAGAGTCATGGTCACCAATTAAACGCCAGGGAAAGCGTCAACAGAACGGCTAACAAATACACGCTACCTTCACCAATATAAAACACTTCTCACTCAGCGATTTAAGTTGTTGCAAGTAGTGTAGCCACTGCTAGTCAGTAAAGCTGAACGTGTATTTGGTGTGTAGTGTAGTCAGTGAAGAAATGTAGTTGGTGTACACTGTAATCAGTGTGGTTTGTTTACAGTCACGTTGGTCTAGTTGGTGTGTTCAGTGAGTTGATGTATCCAATATTCCATAGAGTCCAAGTAGTCTGTGTAGTTTTATGAAGCCAGGATCGTTTGTGAAGCCGGTCAACTTAGTCAGAGTAATCGTTTAAGTTAGAGTAGCCATTACAATCGGTGTAGTTGGAGTTGTTGTAGCCGGTCTGATCAGTTCAGTTGGTCTAGTCAGTGTAGTGCGGGGCGCAGTTGGCGTCAACACAATTCGCTGAAAGAGACTTAATCTTCCTCCCATCCATTGGCATGTGTGCGCTTAGATAGTGAACTTCCCGTTTCGCCCTACTTTTTTTGTTTTCCACTGGCTTTCGGTTTTGTCAGTTTTGTCGTATTTAATCTATAGAGCACGGATGACACTCAAAGCTGCATACTGGACTCTTTTAAATTGATTTCGTACGACAAACGCCTTTACAATAAACGTACCTCGTTTGATCCTGAGATGCACTGTCCTCGGCTTTTACCATCAATAAATATTCACTGATATCCTCTCGATCGAGCTGTTTTGCGGTTGTTATTGATCCGTTGTCCTTATTAATATCAAAAGCGAGGTAATGGTTATTGACATCTGGTACCAAAGTGTAAACAATGACAGCGTTTCCCAAAATGTCACTATCATTAGCCAAAACCTGAAATTCAAATACAAGTAGATCAAACATCAATAATTAAAAAACTTAACGACATCAAAGTAGACACTATAAAGTAACCAAAATTCACTCTCGTCTGTAAACAAACTTTGCGGCACCAGCTCTTGTTCTAAGGACCAAGAAAAGGGGAAATTTCGTTATCCTGGGTAAACCTTGTATTTACCCGGGTTACGCTACCGAACATCAACACGGCTATTTTCGCGCGTCTGCAAACGGGATGGTCGCAGGTTCCATTCCGGGGACTAGAAAAGGACTCAAAAAACTAAGGAAGTTGTTGTCTTTGCCCCGCAAACCTTCGCGCTTCAATCAGCAACAAACTAATCGAGCCATTGTCGTCAAATGAGAAAAGAAACACGCTTACCTGCTCCTTTTTGAAGCAGAGAGACGTTTTTGGCAAAAAGTTAAACAAAACAATAACCTACACCATTTTTTACTATTAATGTGACTGTGTGATACCGTTAAGCCTTAATGTGTTGTTTGTGATGGACTGTGTGACTGCGAGATGCGGTTCGCAAGTCCAACCCACAAAAATAACCGTTGCTCGCCAACCAGTCGTCATATCAGTAGCTCAGAGGTTAGAGCATCCGATCTAGAACACGGAGGGTCGTGGGTTCGAATCCCATCTGTGGCTCAGATTTTTCTATGTCCTCTTATGGTTGATTCTTGACATCTTCCTTTATTTCCTTCATAATATTAATATCAGTGGCATAGGTTGGTTGGTTGGAGGCTCCTTCATGAGTGAGACATTTCTTACTATTAATGTGACTGTGTGATACAGTTAAGCCTTAATGTGTTGCGTGTGATGGACTGTGTGACTGCGAGATGCGGTTCGCAAGTCCAACCCACAAAAATGGCCCTTGCTCGCCAACGAGTCCTCAGTAGCTCAGAGGTTAGAGCATCCGATCTAGAACACGGAGGGTTGTGGGTTCGAATCCCATCTGGGGCTCAGATTTTTTCTGTGTCCTCTTATGGTTGATTCTTTACATCTCCCTTTATTTCCTTTATAATATTAATAACAGTGGCAGAAGTAAAACATAAGATAAAATATGCACATTATACCTGTACAACTGGTGTTCCAGGGGGTAGCTCTTCTTTTAGTGTAACATTGTAGAACGGCTTAACGAAGAGAGGTGAGTTATCATTTCTGTCTTTCACATTGACGACCACAGTTACATTGCTACTGTACTTTTCAGACGATAGCGTTTCTTTGGCAATAACCTGAAAAGACATTGAAAATGGCAGAGTAAAAATCAGTCTGCAGTCATACGACTAGTGAACCAAAATTGAACGAACGCCTAGCAAAAGTATGATTTGATAATCACGAGTATATAATGGTCAGAATTGGACAACACGAAATTCGGATAACAATTAATCAGATCGAATGGAAGCCTAATAAGTCCGTTTCGAATTATGAATAATGAATTTCAAAAAATTCATACTTGGCTCCGAGGCCTGGGAGAAGCAAAAGAAATGGCCTAGAGATTCCGGGATGAATAATACATCTCGTCCTCGCTCTCTGACTGTATTTACTTTGGTCTTTCTTCTTTTTTAATTTCAAAAACTCATTACTAATTTATAAAGAAAAAACAAAAGATATTTTAACGTTTAATGAGTGTCTTTGTTTTTGATAAAATTACAGGCGGCTAAACTTTACGTCCAACTTCTTAGACTAAAATAACCCCAAATCTAAATATTAGTGCAAGAATGAGTTGATCTATAACAGAGATTTTGAAGCCCTTCAAAAAACTCGCAGTCGTGTATTATCAGGTTTGAAAACTCTTCGTTTGCCTCGAAGTTTTAAACCTGATAATAGACTCCTGCTACTTTTTTAAACAGTACTTAAAATTCAAGGTAAGGTTTTCTGGGTCTGTAGGGCTCATTAGGTATCCGACCTCCTCTTGCATGTAGACTGTAGTCACATATTGCAGTTGGACACAACAATGACTCACGCTCAGGGTTAGGGTTAAAATGCCATCAAGATGCCTATCAGAACAGCCGATTCAAAACACTGGAAAATGTATATTATCATTGTAACAAATTGTTCTTACCAAAAAGGAAAAGTTTTCTTGCTTCTCTCGATCCAGTGTTCCATTCACAGCGATCACACCAGTATGGCGATCAACAATAAAGCGATCTTTACCACCTCTTAGAGAATACGAAAATGCTGCGTTGTCTCCCTGCAGAAAATAACGGAGGGCAATATATAGGTACATCAAGATCAACATTCATAAACAGAACATAGAATATAACAAAAAGCCCAAAAGTAATTTACTGCTTGTAAGAGTCAAACTTGTATTTGAGTTGTTTGAGGGTAACAGACAATTGTTCTAATGACTGTTCAGCCAAACTAGCCTCGCAGTTTGTTTTCTTACTTTCATTTATTTCTTTCAGTCTCTTATTTATCTTCCTCTGAGTTGATACTCGCACTTATTCCCGGTCCACACAAGAAAAATAAGTCACACTAGTCACACAACCATTTTTACCTGCCCTGTGAAGTTAGCGTCTTCTTAAATTGTATTTCTCCACACTTGTTTATGATCTTCGCAAGTGTGCACAACGCTATGTATTTAGACCTGCATCATCTTGTGCTCATTCTTGCACTGTTCAGGCTATAGGTGATGTTACACGGAACGCTTCGCAACGTCGATTTGTTTTCAGCGAAACATAGCTTTGCAACATTGTTGCGGCATTATTCGGAATTGTTACAACATTTCTTCAAGTTTGTAGCCCTTAAAGTAGTCGTTGCAAATCGTCTCGTCTAACATTGCGTTATAGGTTCCAGGAGCTGCTTCTTTCTTAGACGTCTCTCTCTCTTTCTCGATGTAGATCTGAGCGCAAAGGTAGACGGCCAGGAGAAAACGGGCGACACGTCCTCGCCTCTCTATTTTTCTTTTCTTCCCATCCATGGTATCTTGCGCTTCGTTACCAGTCACTTGTGTTTCGTGCTCGCCTTTTTTAACGCGACCAAAGAGCGGAAAACGAAGCGCCTGGGAAGGAGGCATTCAAAGAGTTATGACTTAAGTTGTATCACTACTCTACCTTGTCAGTATCAGCAGCTTTCACTAGACCAACAATGGCTCCAACCCCAGCATTCTCTCCGATCAAAAATGAGTATGAATAGTCCATAAACACTGGCCGATTGTCATTGGTATCATTGACGTGGATTACAGCTGTGGCATGATCAGGAAGGTGAAAAGTGGAGCGAGCCTGGAGAGGAGAACACGATTGAAATGGACCATGTTGTGAAGTTTTAGTCATTTCATAGCGCAGATTGCACTTATTCTTCGGAAATAGACTAGTTCGTCTACCATGACCCAGCCCTTAATTTCACCTCTAAAGCTAGAATTGCCAACTCTTGACGTCTCTCTACAATCAACTTCTAGGACAGTTTTATTGGTAAACACTAGCTAGACTATACCTATCCTGATAGGGTTTAATGTATTGCTATGGTTGTATTGCGACATGTACAATGTATGGCGATTACTCTAACGCTATCACACGATCGTAATATCACTTTATCGGGATTAATCTATCCCGCTCGTGACTACTCTATCGTGATCACGACTGTTTTATCGCGATTACTCCGACTTTTCAGATTCCGATTGCCCTACCACGATGAAGGTTGCTGCTTCATGATTACCCTATCGAAATCGCTTCATCGCAATCGTTATATTTCCGCTCTTCTTGCGATAGAGTAAATGTGTGTAAAACTGCTGTCACATACCAGAACTTTCAGCCTGTATTCCTGTTTACTTTCCCTGTCTAATGTTCCATTCAGGGAGACAACTCCACTTGACGCATTGATGATGAAAAGCCCTTGCTCATTGGTCGCTAAAAAGAGACAATTTGAGAGAAGTTAAATTTAAATCGTATTTTCGGGAAACTAATGGCATAACTGTACAGAACCTCTCACACAAAGACAATTATGGACATCATACGAGTAGAGAGAAATAAGGACGATCAGTGGCAAGACGTGATAAGGGGGTAAGTACAGGTAAGCTGTGTTTGTGCCTGTAATTGAGCAATGCAAGAGAAACCAAAGGAGAAAGAAGCTAGGATTAAAGACAGTGATGGTGATGATCGCTGCTGACCAGGGACGTGACAAAAATCTTTCGCTGTTAAAAGTACCCTGCTATCTATACGGATATGTAAGTTTCCAACTGTTCTACGAAATTTAAAAAAAAAAGAAAACCATCGCAACTTTCCAGTTACGAAACGAAAGCCTGATCGGGACTGAATTTACGGGACTCGAACCCTTGTGTCGCAGAGGTCAAATTCGAATCCTTAAAGTCTCACTTTTTTCAGGGTTTACATTTCGCAGTTAAAAACATATGGTTTTTATGTGTTCATTATTTTACCTACGTTTTGTAACGAAGTCTGTTTGTTTTGCCCTGTACATGTACGTTCAACTGGTACTTACATTTAACTATTTCGTATGTGACTGAAGCATTCAGTTTGTCTTGGTCACTTGCAGTCACTCGAAGAACAGAGGTCCCCTGTTGAAATAAAGTATCTTATAAGAACTTATTACTGAATGGTACAGCCCTAAGACAGCACAACGCAATATTAGGAACAAGGACTGCACATCAAGCAGTAGGGTCATGATATTCCCAGTTTAAAGCCTTTCTAAAACTCACAAGATCTTATTTTAGTAATTCTCCTTCCTGGTTGTTATACATGTCCTTGTACACTACGTAAGAAAATCCTGGGTTATATCAACCGATCACTCTCTAGTTGATCCATTTGTCTGTTGAACGCGATGTGCTGACATTACAAAGAGACGTTACATAAAAATCACTTCTGGAAGTTCAAAGGTTACATAACCTAAAAACCTTTTAATTTGAAGCGTTTAAATTTGACTGCAAAACAGGCGTCATCTTTTCCGATTTCAAGGTGGGCAAACGGGAAGTGCAAGGTTACCGTGAAATGCGAGACAAGCGACCCGGATGGTTCCAAAATAAAATTAATAGGCGGCCACGTCATATGAACGATCACACCACGCCCGACAAACCACTAACAATCCCCTGCAACAATAATGTAGCTCCATTGTAACTCACAGTAACCCCTTTGTAACCCACTGTAAGCCCATGTAACATCTTGTAACCCCTTATAACCCCTTGCAACCCCGCGAAACCCCCCGTTCACTCTTGTAACCCACTATAACCACTTGTAACCCCTGTTACCCCTTCTCAACCTCTTGTATTACCACTGGTAACCTCTTGTAACCTCTTACAACCTCTTGAAACCCCTTGTACCCTCTTGTAACCCCATGAAATCCCTTATAACCAGCTGTAACCCCTTGCAACCCCTTGCAACCCCCTGTAACGCCCTTCAAACTCTTGTAACCCCCTATAACCTCTTCTAACCCCCTGTAACTCTTTGTAATCCTTTGTAGTCTACGGCAGCCCCTTGTAAAACCATGTAACCCTCTGTATTCTCCTGTAACCCTTTTAACCCCTTGTAACCTCCTCTAACCCTTTGTAACTTTCCGTAACCACTTGTTTCCCCATTGCAACCCACGGTAACCCTTGTAACCTCACCTAACCCTTTTTACCCCCTGTATCCTCTGTATTATTTTAGCATTGTCAATAGGCAGATATGAAAAACACTTGACATTAATTTTTAACAATGTTTCCATGTCGCCAAATCTCTTTCTTGAGTCCTGTTGGCAGATATTTATCCATTTATTTCTTACCACAGCTGCATCTTCTGTAACAAATCCAGTGTAATCTAAACTGGAAAACCGCGCAGGAAGGTCGTCTTCATCCCTGACTGATATTGTAAGAGTTGTCCAGTTAGAGAAGCCACTTTGATACTGCAGAAGAAAAAGATTTCTTGTTGCAATGTCACTGGCTGGAATGTCAAACAGTACACACGTACAGTGTACTCATGTGGAGGCATGGTGTCTCTCTTAACCCAGTTGCATAAATGGATATCAGTGACATACTGTTAGGGGTAATATCAACGGCTCCATCCAGAAAGAGGAGTAATACTCCTAGCTGCTCCACACCTCTAAAAAGTAGCACATACCGTAAAATTCCGAAAATAAGCCCCGGGGCTTATATTTTTCAAAGGCCCTTTTTGAGGGGCTTATTTTTGGAGGGGCTTATATTCGGAGGGGCTTATCTACGGACGGAAATTTGCGTTTCAAAATCGATTGGACTAGCCTTATAGTTGGAAGTAGATTTACTCTTTTTGCTTTGTTTTACTTTGTATTTGAGGGCAATTTTCCAAGTACAAGCCCCTGGGGGCTTATATTTAGACGGGCGATTTAACGGAGGGTTTTTTGAGTTACCGGTTTGGGGGGCTTATATTTGGAGGGGCTTATACATGGAGGGGCTTATTTTCGGAATTTTACGGTATCTGTCATTCGTTTACTTTGACTAGGTCACTGTAAAACAGTAGCGTGCATACCATAGACTGCAGATATTGCAAAACTGATGCAAAACTTACATTTGATGCTGTGATGTTCAGCAAGTATGAGGATTTTGACTCAAAGTCCAGAACCTTTGCCACCAACACACTGCACTGGTAAGAATCCTTCAATTTGAACATCCCATCCTGACAAAAGAGCAATATCACAAAAAATATCTGTAATTGAGGTTGTCCCAAAAAACTTGCAAGATAAAGCCTTTCCCATGAACTAAAAGCAAAGATGAACTACTTCGAACAAGAAGACGCCTAATGTCGTTTACGCGCGATGTGTTGGCGTAAGTAAGAATTATGTTGAATGGCATTGGAAAGTTGAGTGGTGTATCAACAACAAATGTGTGCAGGAGAGACGGAGATGTTCTGTTAAATACACTAGAAGACGACTTACACACAAGGGTTCCTTTGCTCCTCAACACAAAACGTACATCAATATTACCACCATATATCTTAAGAGCATGGGGTAGTTCACCACCATTTCCCTCAATAAATGCACTTCCACTTTCAACAATACCATGTAATAACCACAGGGCACAAGGCCGTGCTCTAATGTCGTTTACGCGCGATGTGTTGGCGTAAGTAAGAATTATTTTGAATGGCATGCTCTAATGCTCTAATTTTTAGCTGGGGTGCCCAGGCCTAAAAGATGGTTACCAAAATAAAATTTTTGGGTAGCCCCTCAGGTTCCCAAACAGGGGACACAGGGGCCACGAGGGACACAAGGGGACACAGGGGACACAAAGGACTCAAGGGAACACAGGGGCCACAAGGGGTCACAAGGTTCACAAGGGGACACAAGGGAAAAAGAGAGCACAACAGGACACAGGGGACACAAGGGACACAGCGCACACAAGGGACATAGGGGAAAAAAAGGACACATGGGACACAAGGGGACACAAGAGACACAGGGGACACAAGGGACACAATAAACACAAGGGACACAAGGGGATGCAGAGGGCACAGGAGACACAGGGGATATGGAACACAAGACACAAAAGGGACAGGAGACACAAGGGGACACAGGGAAAAAGGGGGACATTTAACAAGCTTTTTGATGGACATGCTACATACAAGTTGACCTCACGAGTTTCTTAGCGAGCGGAATTGAATTACGGTTTGAATGCAAAAAAGGGGCGAATTTATGTAGACCAAGTCTGGAACCGAGAAGGAACCGCGAAATTGGTAAATGGTAAGCAACATTCCGTTCGGCTTGTACCAACGGAAAACGGACTATCTCAAAACGCTCTCCTCAATGTTCGGTTGGAATTTCCGAAAAGTGACCTTACCATTTACCTTCCATCCGGAATTTCCGAAATTTTCTGTCAAATGGTAAGAACCCCTAGACAATATTTTCAGTCGCCCGAGGCCAAGTCTAAGTCGTCTCAGGCGACGGAGCGCCGTACGTTAGAGCAAAGCCTTGACTTTGTCCTCCTCTACGCAGTGAGCTTACTTTTCCCTCCTTTGCTGACGTAGTATCTTTTTTCTGCTTGTGTAATCCAACCTGACTTGCACGTGATTCGAAGTTGCAGCCAATAAAAATCAATAGGATATGGGAAAGTTAAGAAAACGAGGTGATTTTTGACTCCCAAGAAATTAAAAATACGAAAGGAATGCGCTACTGAATTTATGACGCTGGCTGACTACATCATCCTGCGTAATAAATATTTGTGAAGACTTCAGAATGGTTTACATGTATCTTGGTTAAAGGTCAAATGAACCAAAAATTCGACATTTTTTATTTTAGTTCAATTCTAGTGAAATATATTTAATACGAACCGAATAAACATACTATGAAGTTTCAACTCAATTGAAGCAAGCATCTCCGAGATATTCGCAATTAAAAATTGTTATTTTTTGGCTTTTATGTTCGTAGAGCGGTCGGAAAAATTGTCGGTAAAAACAGCTTGTGACGTCAATGTTGGTCAGGTGAAAAAAAGCGGGAAATTCAAAACAGTGTTTTTCGAGTCGACTTGGCGCAGATGGTTTGTGCGGCCATAAACCTAGAAAGAACAAGCTATTTTTCTTCAAAAGTTGCAAGCTGTGGTTATAACCTTATTATTTAATTCTCTCGAAGAATACATCATAGTAAAACGGACTTTAACGATGGCATTAATTTCCTTGCGCTGAACTGGAAATGTGCGTGCGTAGGTCCAATTTTTTTCAAGATGTATTCACAAAATGTGTTCATATAAAGACGTTTCTGGATATAAAAGGGCCGGAGCTCCACTGTGGACACAAAAACAAAATATCTTTGCATAGTGATTTGCCTAAAGAAATTCACGCTTGCCCACAATGTGTTTGAAGTCATTGAACTTTGTCGCACTCGAACTGATATTTTAAAACCCACGTTCGATCGGACACTTGTGCTTCGCAGAACACTAAAATATAAACAAAATCCTCCATGTAGAAGTTTTGGCGTTGATATGTGGGAAGAAAAAGAGTTTAATCTTTATCTAGTAAAATCTTCCCCAAAATCGGTTTCAAAGCAACTACAATTTTTTTAAACTTGATCGTTTCGCGCAGATAAAGTATGCTTTGTGTTGTCAAGTTGAACATGCATAACACTTCTCAAAAACCAAGTAAGATTTCCTTCAAACAAAGTTGAAGTTGCATTATTGCAAAAACTTCTCTCCAGTTATGTATATGACTTAATTACCAACTGAGGTCACTTTAAGGAGCATAGACGCCACTTTAAGCTCGCAAAGAGAGGCGACAAGCAAAGAACAATTCCATCATGTATAAAATTCAGCTTCAGTGAACTAAAAAAAGCTTCAATAAGGTTGCAAAACAACAAATTTCCACTCAAAAAACATAAGGCTTAAGGCTCTTATACCTGCTGACAATGAAGAAGTGAATTTCTGTGCGAAATAACCTACCTAAAGATCTTGAAAGCAAAAGATCAGTTGCCAGCTTTGCACCCAAGCCATGATTCACCATTTAGCTACTTTTAAAAACTGGTCCATGCGAGGGTCTTCAATCAAGCAAATTAAACTAAGCAAACTGAATCATTAGAAAGTACACAAAACTGCACATAAGGGTTTGTTTTGCTCGCTTCAGTTAAATCCAGCTCCAGCAATTGTTTACGGGCAAAGAGTTAATTGTTTTGAAGCCACTGCCGGCAGCTGTTGTTCTCAGCTACTTCACAGCGAGTGAAAACGAAAATTTTAGTACAGAAAGAAAACAAAACTACGTAATTAAAAATGAAAAAAGAAAAAAAATACTCTGACTATTATTACTTGAGCAACAGAAAAGTGATCGAAGTAGTCTGTTCTTCTCGAATAAGCTTGCTAGCCTTGCATAGTTCCGAGGAAGTTTTAAGCGCTCAAGTTTGTTTACTCGCAAGCGTTAGCATCACGGTTCTTTGACATAAGACAAGGATAACGCTGGTTCTGCAAAGATAAATGAATCTGGGCATGTAAAAAAACTAACCGTAACTACTAATAACAGAATACAAGCGGGTCAGTTTAATTCACCCCGGCGAAAGAAGGCAAAGCACTGGACACAAAATCAATTCACAAATCGAATGCACAATTACAGAAAAATACAAACCTCTTTTGAAATGTTCAAAACGTTTTATTCCTCCTCAGACTGACGGAATGATCTTTTTTTACTCTAACATTGGTTGTTCTGAATCCAAAGTAATTTTCAAGTGACAAAAAACAACAATAACAACAAAAACCAATAAAAAAGCCTTTACAAGGAGCAAACGTTCGCACCTCGTGTATTTCATTCAGTCTCAGTCAGAACTCTCACAGAAGGAACGTGACGGAGACAAACAAACGCAGGCGATAAGGGATGCGCAGAAGCTTGCGCAGAACGTTTTTCCGCCCTGAAAGACCAACATTGACGTCATAGTCTCCAGTGTATCACGCGGCCATTTCAGAAACGTTTTCGTAACGTCTTCGGAAATGCTCGGATTTTGATCTTTTATCTTTCTATAAAGACTTGGGAAGAAAAATCTTTACCCAAATCTCACTTAGGATGGTTCTTTTTAGTGTTTGGTGAAGGTAAAGCGACAAAAGAAAATATTTCAATTTTTTGGTTCATTTGACCTTTAAGGCAACCATTATTTACAAATTCCTACCTCATTTCCAGCAACAATCTCATAAAGAATTTCAGCATTTGCCTCAATGTCCTCATCCTGGGCAGTTACAGTGAATATCTGCTGATTTACATCAGTAGCCTGGAGGGAAATTATGTAACGAATTGTCGGAAGAAAAAGGTAAATTTAAGGACAGAGAACTCTAAAGGAAACGAACTCTCTTCAAGGAGGGTGCGATAAATGAAAAGTTAACAGTTAAGTGATATTATATTAATGTTAACGAAAGCAACAAAGTTTTGTAAACAGAAATGCTATTTTCTGATATTTTTCTGTCTTGCTGATGACCAGGTGGCACATTATATTACTATGTGAAAAAGGCACCAGGGCAGTACCTGAAAAAAAGAAAGTGTAAGTCAAAGAGCTGGTTGTAGACAACTCAACGAATAATTCGTCTTCTGATATTAACAAGATTTCTGTGTTCGGAAAAAGAAATACTGTTTTCACGGACCCAAAAGATCGTCAAGTTAAACATTGCCCAAATAAAAGAGCTGTCACTCTTAGCATTGGCTCTGACTAAAAAGAATTTCTGAGGGTTCAAAGAAATCAGCAGTCTTTCGTACACGGGATTTGTACTTACGAGAAATCATTTTTGTAACTGATTTTGGAGTTCTAACTATTGAGACTTTTTTAATAGAAAGAAAGGCTCGTGTTTAAACCGGTCTTTCTGAAACAGTTTCGGCAGTTTCATTTCTTAAAACCCTTGGATACCTTCATGAGGCTTTTGAAATACGCCAATAAGGTACGTCTGCGAAAAAGGTAACATAGCGGGACACGGAAGAGGGTGTCGACAAAATCTGTATCTAGGTAAAAAAAAAAAACCTTCTGACAACGCGCGTGGAAGACCTACATGCGGTTTCTCACTTCAACACAAAACATTTAGTGCTTTGAACTACGTACACCCAAGACTTTGGAACCACAGTAAAGGAATCGCTTAAAAGAACTACGAATTCGACAAGGGCTACACCCACGAAATAAAAGTCGAATTGTCCCGTGTCAAATACTTTCACGTCTTTGTCAGCACTCTCAACTATGTCTTTCCCATCGGTGCAAACAGTGATTGAAT